CATTCTCAGACAGCTATGTCTGGGCAAATTACGCCATCTTGGCCTTGGGCGTGTGGGCTATTGCTCAGAGGGACTCCATCGACGCCATAAGCATGGTGAGCTTAGGGGTCCCAGGGACAGCAGGCTTTAGGGTGAGCCCTGGCCTCTGCTCTGTCTTCTCTCCCATCCCAGTCTTCTTTCTCATGCTTCAGTCCTGTTTCCTAAAGCCTTGTTAATAAGCCCACCAGCTACCAACCCAAGTATGTCTTCACTAGCCCAGCCTGCCTTCTGCAGAGAGCCCAGGGTGATTGCCCCAAGAAGCATGTGATGTGCGGCCTCACCAGTGCCCCCAGATTGGCCACGCCTGCAAAGTGGCCCCTCCCCTAAACACCACAGGGCTCGGTTTTAGAGGAAGGATGTGACCAGGACACAGGGTGCTGCCACTCTGTAAAGTCACGAGTTGGCACCACTTAACTGATCTACTACAAAAGGGCAGCTTCTCATCTCCCAGGACATCCCAAGAAGCAGTGCGCTCTCTAGCATGGAGTCTGTACAAGCCAAGGCACAGGGCCGCCTTGGGGACGGGGCGGGTTGTGGGCAGAGACTGGGTTAGAAGAACTCCAAGGGGCTTTTCAACCAGAGGTTCTGGAACCAAAGCTTGTACCTGGTCATGGTCTTAGGATGTGGGAGGGATAGGGCTCTGTAGCGGAGGCAGCAGATCCAGTATCATTGTTGCCTAGCCCTTCACTGTCTATCCAGCCTCTAACCCATGAAGTCCTGCCTGCCTGTTTGATCCTTCAGAATAAAGAATCATCCAAACTGTTTCCCACTGTTAATGTGCTCCTAGTCTGACAGCTATGGGGGTGTGATGGGGTGTCCCTGTGCTCACAAGCGTATCGTGTGTATGTCCCCTGAGCCTTGCACCCTGTTGTCTTACAGTTTCTCGGTGGCTTGGTGGTCACCATCTTCCTGGACATCATCCATATTAGCATCTTCTACCCTCTGGTAGTCTCCACCGACTCGGCCCGCTTTGGGGCTGGCATGGCCATCCTCAGCCTGCTGCTCAAGCCTTTCTCCTGCTGCCTCGTCTACCAAATGTACCGGGAGCGTGGGGGCGAGCTCCTGCTCCATGTCGGTGAGCCTGCCCTCCCCTCACTAGTTCCCCAACTGCCCTCTCCTGGAGAGGTGCCCTCTCCAAGCCTCCCTATACCTGCCTGGCTAACCCACAGCCCCTGCCCGTGAGTCAGCCTCACCCCATGAGACAGGGTAACCGGGAGAGGGGAGCTTGAAAAGTGCTGCTGAGGGGCTGGGGTGGCCCTGGCTGTCCTAGCCTGCTGCACCCTCTCCCTGGCATCAGGCTGCAGGCAGGGGCTGCGGCAGCTACCAAGGCATCCTCAGCCCAGCACACAGGGCACAGCTGAGGAGTGATGAAGGTCACTCTGAGGTGTTCAGGCATCTGCAGTGCCAGCTTTTCTCAGGTCCTATCTAGTACCTCCTTAAGAGGCCCTCTCTCCTGCCAGGCGGGGTCTTATCTCTCCTTTGGCTGAGATAGCACACAGCCTCCTGCAGAAGCAGCACTGGCAGGCAGCCCTTTTCCCGATTCTCTGTCCTCTAACCTCCAGCCTGGACCTCACTTGCCCCTCCCATGCCCCTCTGGGCTTCCATGACCCTCCCATGATGCCTGAGCATTTTCCTCTTCTCTGATAGGTGCTCTCATTTCTTTTCTCTCCCAGAGAGAGAAGAAGAGGGGCAAAGCGTAATATGTGCCTTTGACTCCTGAGGGAAGAGGTCCAGATTAGCTGGTGGCCCCCCTGAGAACGCGCTTTGGGCAAGGACAGAGTGGGCTGGGTGCCCATGGGTGCATGTGTATATGCATGCGTGTGCGTGCCTATCTCCATCACCCTGAGCATTGGCCCAGTCCCCAGGCCTTGCTGCAAACTTTGGAGTTTTCACCACCAGTTCACTCAGGAGCCAATTGGCCAATAAAGCTTCATTCTTCTTTCACCTTGAGTGAAGTTACTAAAGACAAACAAGCAAGAAATTCAACTAGTTTCTCCAAAAAAAAAAAAAAAAAAGACAAACAAGCAAGCAGGCCAAAAAGCAGCTGCCACTGAATCGATTCCTACCTGTACCATCCTGGGTGTGTTGTGGTAGGGTTTTTAGGGCTGGTTTTTCAAAAGGAGATCCCCAGGCTTTTCTTCCGCAGCACCTCTGGGTAGAAATCGGGTGCAACTCCCAGGCCACTTAGAGCAGCTCAGCAGCATCTTTTAACATCTGGGCGTCAACTGGAACGTATAGCTCAGCTTTACTGAATAGTTAAGTTGAAGGGGACTCCCTGGAGAGCACAGCCATGCCCACTTCCTAGGACACCTGTAATATAGGACTGTAAGACTTGAATGATACGTGTGAAAGCCTTGGTGCCCAGGAGCTCCCACCACTGTCACTGTCCTCAGTCCAAGGATGCCCAGCTCTGGCCTTCCTGATGGGGCTTGTTCGGGTCTTGGTTTGGACTCTGTAGAATTTCGCTCATTGTCACATCTCACTCTATCTTCCCCTGCCCTCCCTGCTGCAGGTTTCCTGGGACCCTCGTCCTCACAGGAACGTGGTGCATACCAGACAATTGGCGAACAGGAAGTGCCCAGCGACCCCTTTGCAGGTCCAGAAAGCAGGAATCAGATGGTATTGAATCGTGGGTATTGAGGTCAAGCCCATTCCTCCTGGCCCTACTTGGGCTGCCATCACCTTCTTCAAGCCATACAGGCCTGCCTTGGGATGCCCATGACCACCGTTTCTGGGACCTCAGACAGACATGTCTTCCTGTTCCCTGCCTCAGGAGCTGCCTAAAGCAAGTGCCTGGATAGGCCTGGAGCCTCTAGGCACCCTACCCTGTGCACACGTTTACCCCAAATTCCCAAGCCTTGCCTCCCCTGCACTGATCCTGAGGCTGGAAGCCATAGTCTCTGTCCCATCTCCTGCCCCTTAGCTGCTCTACATGGGCCTCAGACAAGCCATGCCCAAGCCTGGCAGCGTCAAGTCCCAGGAGCCGAGCGGTGTAGGGATGAGGCATCAGTGTTTCTGACTGCCTGGTCACGTGGTGCCTGGGATCCCCGGGCTGGAGGCAAGGGTGTCCGTAGTATCAGGCATGGCCGCAGCCCCAGCCCCCAGCTGTCTTCTGGAGCATTGGCATTAAAGTGTGGTGAATCTTGTCACTAGACTGTGTTTTGAGTCCTATTTAATCCCCCAGCTGGACTGGGGCCTGGAGCTTGCCTTTCCTGGGATAATTTCTGATTCCAAATTCATGTGAAGCCTGCGTTTAGCTGCCCCTTTTGTTGTGGCTGGAGGAAGCAGGGCACCAACTTCCCCTGGCCCAGCCTGGCTGGGGCACTGGGCGGCGGGGGGAACTGTCTGGTACGGTGAAGAGCTATTCCTTTGAGTCAGGGGACCTAGGAACTATCTATGGGACCATGGCAGCTTCTGAGCTCAGCCACGCTGCTTCTGGGATGATGTCCATGCAGTGACAATACAAATCAGGTCTAAATTGCCTGACTCCAGGAAGGGCTTTGTAAATGACAATTAAGTGACTAGCAGTGTAATCACTCCTGAACTTGTGACACTGAGACAGGATTTGAGGGAGGACAGCAGCACCTCGTGGCAGACCCTTTTTGTTGGCTACACCACTGACATGGCTGGTGTGTCTGGAAGCACCACAGTTTGTAGGCAGGAGCCCTCTCTGGGTCTGGGCATCCACCATCCACTGTTTTTCAGAAACCTTTAGAGGTGGCCACGGACCCTGGGGGCTTCTCCCTGGCACCAAGAGGTCACGGCCTGGTGCACGTCCCCCACTGCTCCCCTTTATTGTTCTTCCAGTCATAAAAGGCTGAGTGTCTGCTGTGTGCTGGGCAGGGCCCCAGCCGATGTTGGTGAGTTCTGCTGTTTGCCAGTGCAAAGACAATATTTGATGACAGTTCCTCTCTTCCAGGGGGAGGAGGCAAGAGTCCCTGGGTGCTAACCTAGTTGCTAATCAAACAGTTGAAGACGGGACATAACAGCCCCAGAGGAACCTTGAAAGAAAGGATGGCAGCCACCTTCTGAAAACCCTACAGAGCACCATCCTGACACATACGGGGTGGCGTGAGTCAACTAGTTCTCACCGGGGATTTTAGACTGTGGCAAGAAAACCCTGACCCCCCTGGAGGCAAGGGCAGCTTCAGAGGGGAGTGAGCCCTGGTCTGGGTCAGCAGGTGCTGAAGGCAGCAGTTGTGGAAAACCAGGCACAGCTTCACTGTTAGAACAGAATGGACAAGGAGGATGCGTTCCACTTATCCTGTGGAATACCACTGAGCAATTAAGAGAGTAAACCAGACCTCTCACTAACACTGTCCGCACTGGGCTGCCTTCATGTGAACAAAGCATTGCAGGATGCCACGCAAGGTGACAACATGAGTGTGAATATTTAAAATCTCAAAAATGCATTGCCCAGGGTCATAGCAACTTACAAGCAGTTGCCGTCTGGCCTGTTCTACTCATGGCAAGCCAGTGGTTTTCAGAACTGTGTTCCATAAAGTTCTTGATAGCTGAGTCCCTTCACCCACTCGGCCTCCTGGAAGTTGATCAGCAGGTCTGTCTTCTGAGCCACTTATGGGTGGTGGTGGTGGTGGTTATGTGCTGTCGAGTCAGAAGGAAGTATTGGCCATCCACTTCCGAAATAGCAGGCCTCTGAAAACCCTATGTACAACAGAACACATGTAGATAACAGAAAGGGCAACTGAAGTTGAGCTTTCAAGTATGGAAAGAGGAAGAGGAACAGTTGTAAGCAGACACTAGTGATCGGAACATGGAATGTGAGAACCATGAATGTAGGAAAATTAGATATTAAGGAAGAAATAAAATGCATATATATTGACATGCTAGGCATTGGTGAGATGAGATGGACCGGTATGGGGCATTTTGAGTCAGATGATCATATGATATATTACTCCAGAGATGAAAAGGTGAGGGAAAATGGGGTTACTTTCATAGTTAAAGTCTTTTCTAGATCCGTCTTGAAATACAATATTGTGAGTGATAGAATAATTAATATTCATATGCATACAAGAAAGTCCATGAATACCACTATCATTCAGATATATGCACCAACAACCAGAGCCAAAGAAAAGGAAATAGATTTCTACCAACTTTTACAGTCGGAGATCGATCGAACATCCAATCAAGGTGCATTAATAATGGTGACTGGAATGCAAAAGTTGGGAACAGAAGAAGAATCAGTAGTTGGAAAACTTGTGGGTGGACACATACCAAATCCTTGACGGTTATGGTCTGGTGAGGGTGTGGCTCGGAGAAATGGACCTAAATCTCATGCTCTGGTGTTCTGTTACACAGAAAACTCGCTCTGTAAGTGCTTGTGCAGAGTTGGGAAGCAGGACCCAGGAGGGGAAGAAGCCAAGCACGGTGTGACCTCAGCCAGAACCCTGGTCCCAAGGGGGCACTCTGGACTGTGAGGGACACTTCAGAGCATGTGAGCTGATAGCAAGCAAAGGTGTCAAGTTTTCAGTCATTGGCTAGGGGCTGTTCTGGGGTCAGGGAGGAAGGAGTTACATCCTCATGCACCCCGGCTCCCAAAACATGCAGGCAAAGTGGCACCTAGAGCCCGTGGACTATTCTTCAAGGGGCTCAGAGAGTTACCAAACACACAGAAGCAGTGAGGGCACCACTGTGGCTGCCCCCTTGCCACATAAAACCAAATCCACTGTTGGCAAGTAAATTCCGACTCATTGTGATCCTGTAGGACAGAGTCAAACTGTCCCAGGGGGCTTCTGTGGCTGCAAAAGCTTCTAGGAGCAGATACAAGATCTTGTCTTTCCTCTGAGGAGGGGCTGATGGGTTCAAACCATTGACCTTTCAGTGGGCAGCGCAATGCTTAACCTCCTGTGCCACCAAGGCTCAAAAGACTCCATAAAGGAGCGCTGCTAACCTTGATTTAGTACTTAATTGAGAGCTAGGATGATGTGGTGGTGTAGTGGTAAGGAGCAGTGCTGCAATCCTGAAGAGACACAGTTCAAATCCACCAGGTGCTCCAAAAAAGAAAGATGGGTAATCTCCTGTGCGATTGAACTGCCTCAGAAAACTCGCTGGAAGGTCAGCTACAGATCGGTTCCGACTTGATGGTACTCAACAAGGACAAGTGTGAAGAGTATTCTGTTGTTACGTGCCGTC